CAGAGCCGAGAGAAGAGGAGGGGGGACCCTGGCTCAGGAATGAACAAAAGTGAGAATGTTTTATAATCCTTTGGGTATATAGTCAGTAATGGGAGTGCTGGGTCAAATGGTATTTCTACGTATGTTCACTGCGGCACTGTTTACAATAGCAAAGACTTGGAACCAACCCAAATGCCCATCAATGATAGATTGGATAAAGAAAATGTGGCACATATATATACCATGGGCTACTATGCAGCCACAAAAAAGGATGTGTTCATGCCCTTTGCAGGGACATGAAGCTGGAAACCATCATTCTCAGCAAACTGACACAGAACAGAAAACCGAACACTGCATGTTCTCACTCACAAGTAGGTGAACAATGAGAACACAGGGAGGGGAACATCACACACCAGGGCCTGTTGGCGGGGGGGAGTGGGGGAGCTAGGGGAGGGATAGCAGGGGGTGGGGGGATTGGGGAGGGTTAGCATTAGGAGAAATACCTAATGTAGATGATGGGGGTGGGGGATGGATACAGCATACCACCATGGCATGTGTATACCTATGTAACAATCCTGCACGGCCTGCACAGGTACCCCAGAATTTAAAGTATAATAACAATAAAGAAAGTGAGGACGTAGATGCAGCACGGGACTGTCCGAGTCCCACAGCCACACAAACACCTGCGTATGGATGAAGGCAGCAGCAGCTTGACTCCTAACAGCCAAGAGGTGCAAACAACCCACATGCCCATCGAAGAATGAGTAACAATGTGGTCTCCATACAGTGGAACGTCATTTGGCTGTAAAAGGGAATGAGGCTCTGATGTGGGCTACATGGATGAGTCCTGTGAACATACCGCGAAGTGAAAGAAGCCACACACAAGGCCTGAGTCGTGTATGATTCCATGTATGTGAAATGCCCAGAGAGGCAAATGCATGGACAGCAACATTAGGACTGCCTAGGGCCAGGCAGAGGAGTGGCTGCTGATCGGCACGATAGGGTGTGCTTTGGGGTGATGGACTGCTCTAAAATGGATTTCACTGCTGGTTTAATAACTTGGCGAATATATTACTATTGCAGGACTTTTCCTTAGTTCAGCTAAAGATGGGTTCTTGTCCACCCCACGGCCACAAAAATTTAGGCTGGAAGACGGTTTAAAGGGTGAGTAAAGCAGGGTTTTATTGGGTGAAAAGGGAAAGAGAAGGGGAAACAGAGATCCCCACAAGGCCACAGTCCCTGCTAGCACCTTCCCACCTACCCCTGGAATCCCAGGTTCCACACGGGAAGAGGAGGGGCCGGGCTCCTCCATGCTGTAAACATCGTGAACTTCCCAAGGCTCCACTTCAATGGGCAGACTGGTTGGAGTTTCTCCAGGGACCCCTTCCCACCCGTCTCATTACCGTATTACTATATTATTATTATTTAGTATAATATTAATACTAAAACCCACTGAATTGTACATGGTAATCGTGTGAATTGTTTATCTCCATAAAGCTGTTATGAAAAAAAAAAAGCTTAGCAATGAAAGGGAGAAAACAAGACAGGAGTTTGTTTAAGGCTGTGGCTCCCAAACATTTGTTAAACCATGCCAGACCCCAGCACGAGATTCAGCTGGTGGGGCTGGGGCCTGATGATGTTATTTCTAACTTATTCCCAGGTGCTGCTGACAACGCGGATCTGGGAGCCACACTTTAGAACCAGCAGAACCACTAGAAGTGAACGTATTTGTTTCCGTTGTTTTAAAACAGATATAGGCTGCACCTGGTGGCTCACACCTGTAATCCTGGCACTTTGGGAGGCCCAAGCGGGTGATCACATGAGGCCAGAAGTTTGAGACAGGCCTGGCCAAAATGGCAAAACCCGTCTCTACTAAAAATACAAAAAATTAGCCAGGCACGCTGGCTTGCATCTGTAATCCCAGCTACTTGAATAGCTGAGGCATGAGAATTGTTTGAACCGGGGAGGTAAAGGCTGCAGCAAGCTGAGATTGCACCCCTGCACTCCAGCCTGGGTAAAAGAGCAAGACCCTGTCTCAAAAAGCAAAACAAAACAAAAATGAGTTATAATTCACTTAGCATAGACGCTCTCCTTTTTCAAGTGCATAATTCACTGGTTTTCAGCACATTCACATGTTGTGAAACCAACACCACCACAGAACTCCAGAATGTCTTCATTACCCCAAAAAGAAACCCCGCACCTAACAGCAGTCACTCGTCAACCCTCTTCCTCCATTAGCCCCATCCCCTGGCAATTATGACTCTACTTTCCTTCTCCATAGATTTGCCTTCTGTAGACATTTCACATAAAGAGAACCGTACACAGTGTGAACTTCATGTAGGTTTCCTTCACTGAGCACCATGTGTTCCAGATGGCCATTCTGCGGCATGCGTCAGCACTCCATCCCTGGCCGAATAACATTGGATTATGTGAGCCTACCACATTGCCTCCATCCCCATGCATCTGGGTTGCTTCATCCCCATGCATCTGGGTTGCTTCCGCTTTGGGGCTATTATGAATCATGCTGCTATTAATGGAAGCATTTGTGTACAAGTCTTTGTGGTCACATCTTTTCGATTCTCTTGTGTCTACACCTAGGAGCAGAGCTGCTGGATCATAGGGGGATTGTTTCTGATGAACTGCCAAACTGTTTCCCACGGCAACTGCACCATTTTACACGCCCACCAACTGGACGGTTCCAATTGCTTTGTGTCCTCCGTGACACTCGTCAGCATCTGTCGTTTTTATGATAGCCATCCTAGTGTGTGCTGCTGTAACAGACCACCAGAGGCTGGGCACTTTATAAAGAACAGAAATTAACTGGCTCAAAGTTCTGGAGGCCGACAAGTCCAGTATTGAGGTACTGGCATCTTAATGAGGGCCTTCTTGCTGTATCGTAACATGGCAGAGGACATCACATGGCAGGAGAGCAGGACGGAGGAGAGTGTGAGCGCGCACAAGAAGGGGTGAGCTCACTCCCACAAAAACAAACCCACTCCTGCAACACAGCATTTGTCTATGAGGGCTCTGCCCTCATGACCTAAACACCTCTTAAAGGTCCTACCTTTTAATACTGTTACAATGGCAGTTACATTTCAACGTGAGTTTTGGAGGGAACAAACATTCATACCATAGCATTCTGCCACTGGTACCCCCAGACTCATCATTCTCAGTACAAAATGCATTCATTCCATCCCAACTCCCCCAAAAGTCTTAACTTGCTCCAGCATCAATTCCAAAGTCTGCAAGTCCAGGGTCTCCTCTAAATCAGATGAGTGAGACTCAAGGCACAATTCATCCTGAGGCAAATCCCCCTCCAGCTGAGAGCCTCTGAAATTTAACAAGTTACGTGCTTATGAAATACAGTGGCAGGGCAGGCATAAGATAGACATTCCCATTCCAAAAAGGAAAAGAGGGCAAGAAGAAAAGAATAACCAGTCCCAAGAAAGTCTGAAACCCAACAGGGCAGACAACACTAAATCCTGACTCCAGAATATTCTCTGACTCATCTTAATGTGATCCCCCAAAGCCAGGAGCAGCCCCACCCCCCGTGCTGGGCTCAGCCCACCCCAGCTCTCACAGGACGGCATCTAGTGCCTGCAGCTCTCCTGGGCTGGGGCTGCAAGCCCATGGCTCAGCTAGGCATTATAAAGTCATGTTACCAGCAAATAAACGTAATCTTCCTTCTTCCTTTCCTATCTGGATGCCTTTCATTTCTTGTCTAACTGCCCTGACTAGAACCCCCAGTACAATGCTGAATAGAAGTGGTAACCGTGTAAGGTCTTTCAGGCTGATCGCACTATGGACTATGCCATGATAACCCCTGTAACCTGCACGTACAATCCAGACAAGTTCCTGGAACTAGAGAGTCTGAAGTAACTGGAAAACCACAAAAGGAGAAGAAATAATCAATCCCTGCAGCGCCTAATTAACTTTGAGACGAGGCAGACTGGACTCTGTAACTGACTTTGGTCAACCTCGTGACTCTAGACCCTACAATCCCCTCACAGCTTGCAAAAACCACCCTGAACTGTAACTTCTGTAACTTTGCACTGCCTCCCCCAAACCTACAAAACCAGCTCCTATCCCACTACCCTCTGCTGACTCTTTTCGGACTCAGCCCGCCCACGCTGGGGTGAATAAACAGCCATGTTGCTCACACAAAGCCTGTTTGTGGTGGGGGGGGGGGGGGGGGCTCTTCATTCAGAGCACATGTTTTAACAGAGTGGAGATATCTTATTCCTGAGCTTAGGGAGTTGCTTTTCAAATGAGATGGGCATTTCTGTGGTTTGAGGGAAATAAATTAATGGGGAAAGAAACTTGGGAATATGTACAAGACAGAGGATGACTGACAGAGATGGATCTAGGGAGACAGGAAAAAAGGAGGCCACTTCTTCCGGAGATGGGAGGGAACAAAAACAATTCGGGTGCGACTGACTTGAGAAGGCAGGAATGCTGCTCTTCACACCTGACAGTCCTCTTCTCAGTAAAGCGGGGCGGTCACCTGGGGAATGGTCAGGGCAGACTGGGGGCTTGAAGCAAGGAGGAAAGATCAGACATGACTGTTGCCGTGTGGTAGAATGCGGGCCAGCCTGGTGCTCTGCTGTCTCTCTGCTGGGTGCCGCCTCACCAGGTGCCTTCCCCTGCTTCTGGGTTCGAGCCCACCGAGACTTTTCCCCGTCTGTTCTCTGGCATTATGATGTCATCTCTGGAAACTGAAATCATGCTAAAAATGTATTATATTGACTAAAGGCATATTTCTTGATCTTAATTTAAAATTGATGTTTCACGTTTCTTCTTCTAAAAAAGCAGGGGCGGGGGGCGGTGCAAAGACTAAGCTCATTATCTTTTCTCACTATGCTCTTAACAGAACACAGAAGCCTGCTCCCACTTTCAATGTGTTCCGACTGAACTCAAGGTGCGGTTTGCATGACACCCGCTCCTGCCTGCACGTCTGCTAAGCACTCCTCTCCTACCTCGAGGCCCACCCTAAGCATGAGAGACGCCACAAACAACGAAGATGGCTTGAGCAAATTTGGAGTTTATTTGCTGCAGTTCCTTGGCGCTAGTTTACAAGGCAAAAACAAACAAACAAAAACAATTAGAATAATTATAATTTTTTTAAAAACCCTGTCAACAACTTTCAGTCATTTCTTTATATTTTTGTATTTTGACAAAACTTCTTTTAAACAAATACAAAATAATCTAAAAGGAGAAAAACTATACATAGATTATTTACACCTCTGATAAATAGACTAATACTGACCCAGGTGCCTCTCTGACTAGGAAACATTTGTGAGAACCAGGTCAGGGCCCGGGCCAGCTAAGCAGGCTCCAGTGCCGGCCCAGACATGCCCAGACCTCGGCAGGCACCGCCTGGTCCTCCCACCCAGAAAGTTCAGGTTTCCAGCCTGGACCCTCTTCTGTCACCCTCACAAGCTCTGGCACAAAAGTGCGTGAAGCCACTCCAGGTAGAATCTCCACAAATCGGGCGGCGTGGGGGTGAGAGACTGTCCCCTTCCATTCCTCCCACCACGCCTCTGCAAAAGCTATTTCCAGAGATGCTCGCCAACCCTAAAGGATCAGAAGAGCCGTGGCGATGCGGCCCTGTGGAAACCCGCAGCTCCTCCACCTGCCTCCTCGGGGCCGCGCCCTGCACTGCCCTGCGCCAGAGCCCTGTGGAGGGGCGGGCCAAGACGGCCAGACGGCCAGCCACCTGCTCGGCCTGGACTGGCATGCTGGCCCTGGCAGAGGGGCAGGAGCTGCCCTTGAGAGTCCCTGAGAGAAAGGCAGGAAAATGCTGCGTTTCATGGCTCCCTTCACCTGGAATGAGGGCAGGGCCAGCTCATACGGTGCCTGCAGGGAGAAGAGAGATGCGAGAGGCTGCCTGGCCACCCCACCTCACTCCAGTGCACTCCACGGAGCAGATAAAGGCCCATCCTCCCCTCTAGGGGGCCCACCACAAAACGCATCCAGAATAGTCCAGTTAGGGCTGGTTTTGAGGCAGAAAAAGCTGAAGCCCTAAGGGGATTGGGTAAGTCCTACTCCTTCCTCTAGAACGAGGACTGGAGTTCTGGGGAAAAGGAAGAAAAACCAAATATGAAACAGTTAGGTTATCCGGAAGCTCTGCCCCGATAACCTTCCTCACAGTTTTGGTTATTAGGTATTTAGCTCAAGGAAAATGCTGACTTTCTACGTTAAAGCCCCACAAGAACCTGGATTCTGAAGGAGGAAAGTAACGTAAGCATCCAGTCAGTTCTCTCCTCTCTCCTCGGCGCTCCGCAGGCACTTGGGATGGAGAAACATCTGCGGGAGCTGCTGGGCTGCATGCTGCTGCTGGCTGTGCCCCCGGCCAGAGTAGGCCCCGAGTCTGACTGTGCTGTCCGAGGCCCACTGCACCTCTGCCCTCTGTGTCCTCGACCTCACCTGTCTCTCTCGCCCAGACAAGCACTAGGCAGCCAGCTCCCACAGCACAGGAGAGGTGGGCCAGGCCCTGCCGCGGGCCCAGGCTGATGCCCCTCAGCTGCAGCCCTGGGTGCTCTTCTCCAGGGAGAAGCTCCCAGAGCAATCAGGGCAGAATGCACCTGAACAGCACTATGTTCTCTCTTAAAAAAAAAATAGATCTTTATAGTATGTGGCTTCTCTTCCTTTCCACCTTTTTTCTTAACATATAATAATATATGGATACATGTATTTATGGTGCAGGGGTTGAAGGCTTCTTCACCGGGACAACCAGGAGGTAAACAGTTGGTGCCGAGCTCTGCTACCAGAACACTGGGCAGAGAAACTGGCCAGGAGGCTGCCCTGCCAACAGGAGCTCTGCCCTGTGAGAGAGAAAGGCTCAGGAGCCCATGCTGGATAGACGGCCGGTCCCCTCTTCCCCAGTGATAACTGCCCACCCTTCTCCCACTTAAAAAAAAATAGCAAAAGCTGAAGCTAGTCTCTAGGAATCCAGGGCGGGGCCTGGCAGAGGACGCTCTGCTAGGCAGCAGCACATCCGTGGAGGCGCGGGAGAAGGGCGGGAGCTCTGAAGCCCCGCAGACCGACGCCCTCGGCTGCACGCTCAGTGTCGCTTCGTGGAGGAGACCTTCTTTTTCCGTGCCGCGAGCATTTCATAGAAAGGGTCCCTGCTGATGGCTGCTCTGGAGCACAGAAACGGAAGAAAACAGAGATGTGAGGGATGGAATCAGAAGAAACACATCTGGGCAGGGGCTTCTCAGGGGCTCCTCGTGCCCTGAAGCCCCTGTCCCACCCCACCATCACTGCAAAGGCCAAGTTAGTGTCGTCCACCCTTGCTGTGTCCACACAGTGACTTACAGTGATACACTTCGAAATAGACACAGGAACACATGACGAGATAATTTTGGGGTCTTTTTTACCTGTTTCAGTGTAATAATCAATTGACATTTAGGAACAGAATCATGACACATTCTGACAGCTATATTCAAATTAAGAGAAAAAAACCTGTGCTTGAGTTTCATGACCTCTGACTTTTCTTTGCAGCAGCGAGTGCCATGTAATCAAGCTGTGTCACAGGCAGTCCTCTGGCACGGGGTGTGTGGCAGCTGGCATGGTAATGCAGCGGGCCTTCCAAGCCCCCATGTGCACTGGTTCAGTAACTCAGGCTCCATGACCCTGCAGGCAGCACTGCCCGGCCCGATGCTGCCGGTGGGGCACCGGGGACAGACCGGCTGGACCTGGCTGGGTCTCCAGCACACAGGGAGGGGACTGAGCTCATGCCTGTGCCAGAGCCACGAAAACGGCAACACCAGACGCGAGCGGGCTGAAGCACCTGCAGCAGACCAGCAACTCCACAGCCCTGGGTCTATCATTCTCGACTTTCAAGCAAGTTATGGTCTACAAGCCTTGACACTTCATTTCTTTCCAGGGAAGCAGTATCCTAAGTGATGATTTGTCCCAGAGCTCAGGCACAAGCCTCCTGACTGCAGGCAGGGCACTTGCCCCTGCTGAGCGGTGGCACCAGCAGCTGCTATGGCTCCCCTGAGCTGACCGGGATCCTATTCACAAGAGATGATGTGTCCATGGAAAATGTTTCTGCAGCTCCTCGGGGAGTGCTAGGGACTGAACAGTACTAGAAACACGTCTGAATGTGATCTCACCAGGAAGGGGTCTGACAACCCAAAGTGCTCTCATGAGGGAATCTGGCCAGCCAAAACATCGATTTCATTTTTGGAAGTATTGGGGTGAATCTCCCTTGGCTTCTTGGGTCGGTCCCTTTTAGGTAAGCCGGGTGTTTCTGCAGGTGTGTGTGGCCCTGCCCTGTGTGCAGAGGCTGAGTGTCGGGTGATGAGGAGGGCTGGGCTGCAGTTGGACACCAGGCCCTGGTCAGCCCCGCCTGGCTCTGCATGCTGCTCCTCACTCCCACGTCCTCACATGGGAGCTGGAAATGCCCTGCCTCCCTGGGTTCTGGGGAGTCAAACAGAGATCCGTATACAAAGAGCACATCTCGGCGCCCAGCAGACACACTCGACGGCAGCCGCTGTTACTGCTGACGCTGCAGTTCCACTGCTTTACCTCCGGGTACGGCATGAAGAAAGTCCCAGCATTACAGAACACACCTGACTCCACAGAAGCGAATGCCATGGCAACCCACAGGCAGGGGCACCAGAACAGAGGTTGCTGGGAACTCTAGGAAAAGCATGTAGGGAAAAACGTGTCCTGAACTTGACCTCCAAGGCCTTTCTGGCAATACTGGGGAAGAGGCATCCACCAGCCAGATCCTCTTCCTGCTCCTGTCATCACCACTGTTTCCACTGGGAGAAGTAGCTAGGGCCAAGGACAGCTGAGGCTGCGAGGTGGTTGCCAGTGCAGCTGCATGAGTCACACTGCTCAGGTCTGAGGACCCGCTCCACCTCTGTGTGGTTTTGGACAACTTACTCAAGTGTGCCGTCCTCAGTGTCCTCAGCTGTGAAATGGGGATATTAACCCTAATGGGCCCACCTTGCACCAAGTGCAAGGAGGTTTGAGGACAACGTGTCCGCAGAGTGCCAGTCTGAAGATCCGAGGCTGAGACCAGCCCGCTTCGGGACAGGCCAGAGGAGCCCAGCAACCCCACACAGGAGAACTCAGCACTCACTCTCATTAAAGGATTGAATGTTCTAAGTGTCGCTTTGAAAAATGCTTAGTTTTTCCAACCACAGAAGTAAAAACCACATGAAAGACACATGTACAAAACCAGCCAAAACTTTTATGAAAGACCAGTGAGGGGAGGCCAGGAAGCCCACCAGCCAGCACAGTCAGAGCACACATGCGGCTCCAGGGGAGAGGCAGGGTGGCGCTCACAGTGGGAGACATGGCGGAACAGCAGGTGCTTTGCCGCATGACGGAGGAGGTGGGTACAAGCTAAGGAGGCCGTGTCATCGACAGGAGCGACACGGATTAATTCATAAACGGCGTCAGGACCATCAGCTATTCATTTGCAAGAACAAAGGTAAAATCCTGTACAACGCTTACTTCAAATCTTATATAAAAACCACATTTTATAATGATTCAAGAGTTAAATTGTTTTTCAGTATGTTAAAAAAAGGATGCAGGTCCCCCATAACACTGCTGTTTTCTTCCCCAGAACGCAGGGCTGATGCCATTACTAGCAGGGGACTCTGAAAACACAGTGGTGCTGCATCTGCTCATGGAGAGTGGGCTGGCCCCTGCTCATGGCCACACTTCCCATGATGGCTGTCATGCCAGGGAAGCTGCCGAGGTCTGTGCCCACCACATGATCTCATTTAATTCTCACAAGAGCCCACGAGTCAGAAATGACCTCTATCAGACAGAAGAGGTAGGTGACCTGCCTACCAGGCACCGTGCTCAGAGGGACAGAGCAAGGACTCAGCACAGTGTGACCCAGCGCCAAATCCATCCTCTCCCCGCCTGGCTCCTATCTCTTTTCACTGCATGAATTTTCAGATTTCCTTTTGAAGGGATCAATCATCTATCTTTTCCTTCCATCATCACATCATCTCCATCTTCAGTCATTTATTATTTAACCTTGGCCAAAACCTACCCTGGTTTGAGTAGAAATATCGAAAGCTAAAACAAAGGCTAGAGCATATCGGACTCTCTGAGGAAGGGGGCTATAGCCTGGGCAGGAAAAAGCCCGTCACACAGTACACAGAGGACTTAAAGGAAAAACTCCCTGTTTTCCAGGTGAAGTCACAGGCAGCTGAAGAGCCTTTCTCAGGAAAACAGCTGGGTAAACTCTCATGGATGAAGCACCCAGGAGGGAGGACAAGGCTGTGGTCTCAGGAGCAAGCCTCACGGAGAGAAGGCAAAAGCAGATGCTCAGTCTTGATCCTCACACAGGGACTGGAGGCAGGACCAGGCGGACCAAGGCCCAGGGAAGAACATGAAGCAAAAGAAGCCCACTGGCTTCAGAAAGCTGTGTTTCCAGATACTTTTCCCATTGGAAGTCTCCAGCCCCATGAGAAACCTGACATGGCTGGAGCAGAGCCGAGAGTGAGGAGTCAGAGCGCTGGACTTGGAGCTCGACTTCTTAGCTGTGGAACTCTGAGGAGGCTTTTCCCTCCTCCTGGACCTTGGATGATGCTATTTGACCTCCAGCGAATGTCTTGACCTCTATAGGCCGCAGTTTCCTCATCTGTAGCTAGGAAAATGGTGTCTCGTAACATTCACAAATGATAAAACATGACTACTGTCACCAGGAGCTGTTGCTATAATGCGAACAGCTTCCTCGGACATGGAAAGGCCAGCTCAGCAATGGCATCTGTGCCTGCAGCTCACTCACCTCTTCCCATTTTGGGTCTATGAGGACACTTGGGGAACCCAGATGGGACGTGCTCTTTTACATACGCTGTAATAGACAAAAATCCAAAGGCCTCCCAGGAAGTCATCTGGGAACCAGGACCAAACTTCCCTAAGAACGTAACACTGGGAGCACAGAAGAGGTGCAGGCGGCATGTTTGGCCACTAAGACGATGAATACCTGGTGAGTGAGAGCCCGTCAGGCACACCCACCTCCCTTTCTCTGAAGTCACTTACTTAATGCACTTCATCCACTCCTCCTTCTCCTCGGGCGTCGGTGCTGAGATTCGGTAAACAGTGTGGTTCCCCTCCACCACCCGCCCGTCAGCCTCAGTCTTGCAGGCCTTGATGACTTGGTCTTTATTGTCAGGGATATAAAGCTCAAAGCAGTTCTGAGAATCAAAACAGGGAGGAAGAGACTGAAGCAAAGGATGCTGCTGACTGAGAAACATGCTGATTTCTTTCCCCAAGGCCTCTTTATTCTAACCTTCACAAAATACAAGCAAGACATATTTTCCTATGGAAAAGTGAAGCTTAGAAGTGGAACTCTGGTGACTGTAAATTGCATAGAAATAAGTCTTGTTAGCAAACATATCAACCTGATATAAGTTAGCTCCACTTCTAATGCACGTAAAATATATGGAGAGAACAACCGGTTACTGAAGACTTTTTAAAGTCAAGCCAGTAACATCGTGATGGTCCAAAACAAAGAAAAAATAAATACAAGGTGTCCCAAGGTTATAAATTAAATAGCCCACCCTTGAGTGTTTGCTGTCGCCATCTGAGGAGGGGCAACTTCTACACCTCATGTGATATTCACCAAGTGAAACTAAACCAGATGGACAGCACAGAAAGAAGTGATTTAGTCTCATCTTTGGCTTGAACAATATAATCAAAAATTAGACTAAATAAAAGACTTGATTATGCTTTTCAATGCTTTGGTTTTGGGTTTTTTAAAAAAATCTTTGAAACGCCCATCCCTTTTCTCCCCTCAAAAATACTCACTGGTTTTTTGGAGTCCTCCACTTCCCGGATACTCAGATTCTCTAAAGGGATGATTCCACGGGGCTCCTTATCCTACAGAACAGTGGAAGAGAGGAGGTTTAAGGACACACACATGGTCCCCAGCAACTCATCCTAACTCTCCTGCCTTCTCCCAGGACATGATGTTCACAAATCGGCCTGAGGGACCACTCTTTACGTTCCAAAATAAGAACAGCGTCAAGAATGCCTGAGGATTGCCAAAAGAACTGCAGGTCCTCTGTGAATAGAAAGCCCAGGAGATTCAACAGGTACCTTGAGAGTGCCTGGCAATGACCCAGGACCGGTCCTCAAGCAGGGAGCGTGCAGGCTCCTTCCTCTAGAAGGGCCTTTCCCTCTCCCCTTTGCCTGGCTCTCCTACTCATCTCTGGAGCTTCAGTTCTGGGGCAGCAGCTCCAGGAAACCTTTCCTAGTCTTACCCTAGCGGCCGTGCCCTCTCCTGCACCCCTGATGCCTGGGACAGCAGCTGTGGTGCAAGCCATTAAGGACCCTTGCCTCTGTCCATCACCCCACCGACAGACAGTACAGTCCTGAGACACCGCAGTCCTGACAACTTCACCTGGATTTCCAAAGGCACCTAAACTGTCCAGAACAGAGCTGCACCCGCCAACTAGTCCCATCTCATCTGCAGAGACCACAGCACTGCATACACTTCCAGCACATGTCTGATGGCAGCTTCACAGTCCCGATATCCAGCCAACCCATGGCCACGTTCTAGCACTGTGAAAGTCTATTTGGCCAGAGTTATACATGCACGAACTGTTGGGGAAAAAAAAAAACAACAGTTCTACGAGTTTTCTAAAAGTGAAAAATAGTCTTTCAGCCATTTCCCCATCCGGGGTAGCAACTATTTTCAACTTCTTTAAACCAATCTGCTTGGTCTTTAATTTACCTCTGTATCTCACACATCTCTAAAATACCATTATAGAAAACTACTGCCTTTTGAGTGCTTTTTTTTTTTTTTTTTGAGATGGAGTTTTGCTCTTGTTCCCCAGGCTGGAGTGCAATGGTATAATCTTGGCTCACCGCAACCTCCACCTTCCAGGTTCAAGCGATTTTCTTGTCTCAGCCTCCCTGGTTGGGATTATTAGGCATGTACCACCACGGCTGGCTAATTCTGTACTTTTGCAGAGACGCAGTTTCTCCATGTTGGTCAGGTTTGTCTCCAACTCAGGTGATCCGCCCTCCTTGGCCTCCCAAAGTGCTGAGACTACAGGCATGAACCTGGCGAGTGCTCGATTTTAGACGTTAACTATAGAAGAGGATTGAACTTCTCCTCCTACCCAGGCATATTCATACTGCCCATCCTCCCAAAATAATTATCTAGTAATCTGAGTTAGAGCTATACAGTGTCTTCATTAACACCACGTTCCTCTTCGGACCTGTGCCATATAGTGACCTTCCTAATTTCTTCCTTTCTGAAAGCTTCCTTCCCCACTGGAACCAAAATTATAAAGGGTGGAGAAGTGGGTGGTTCCTTTTATTATATTTCTGTGACTTTACCATCAAAATCAACTGCAAATGGTTAACTTCTTAACAAAACCTCCTTGCTAATGCTAATTTCTATCAGGCATCCAATGAATTTTAATTTCTTGAAGCAATCGTTCCTGGAGCCTCTGAAGCCTGTTCCAATCTGGACTGGGTGCCTTGATAGTTGGCAAATATCTTCATCTTTAAGCTCACCACTCTCCATTCCAGAGCATTCTTCCCTCCTCTCTTGAAATGAGAGGTTTCAAGATCTCTCTTTTACTATAGCCAAGGCCTTTCCTGCTTTGATATTACTTAGCACCCTCATTTTGGCAGGGCTGGCATCCTGAGAAAGGGTAGGTGGGTGGTAACATTTCTGAGATCTCACTTGGCTAAGAATGTTTCTATTCAACCCTTGCACCTGGTTGATAGCTGGCTGGGCCTAACAGTCTAGGCTGGACGCGACCCTCCTCCAGGACCGTGAAGCCTAGCACTCCTGCCTTCAGCATTCACTGTCACCCCGTGCAAAGCTGTTCTGGTGGCCGGTGCTTTGCACGTGACTGCCGTTCTCCATGTCCTTGCTGTTCTAAGGACCCCTAAGGAGGCAGCCTTGGTGTGCATGTATTTTCAGCCACCATGCAGGGTATTCCGTAAGCCTTTCAACCCGGAAACATATCCATCATTTGAGGGAAGTTTTTAAAAATTATTTTGTCAAGTGTTACCTCCTCTTTGTTTTCTCAGTCTTCTCTGGAACATGCTAGAGCTCCCGGACTAGTTCTTCTTTGGAAAAAAAAATTTTCCTTTATTATTTTTCCTCTCTTTGCCTTTTTATTCTTTCTGGGAGATTTTCTTAATGTTTTTCTTCCAACTTTTCCATTGAGTTTTCATTTCTACCATGCTTTAATTTCCAGGAGGATTTCTTGTTATTTTTGTTCCCTGGCTTCATACAGGACCCTGTTCTTGTTCCACAGCTGGGATGCCATCTCTCTGGGATGCCCAGGAGTCTCTTTAGGGCTGGCGCTGAGGCCTTCTTCTCTCGGAGCCCGTCTCCCACCCAATTTGCTCTTTGGCTGCTCGGTTGCTTTGGTCTCCATTCGCGTTCAGGCTGGAGGAACTCCTCAGGTACCTGGGACCCCTTGGTTGTCCCACTTGAAGAGTGGAAGACTAGAGCTGACTGGACTCCGAAGCCTGTGCACTCTGACCATCGACAAAGCCTCTCACTAGGCTGTCCGCTGGAGAATCTGACTAAACATCCTTACGCATCTCTTCGTGGGCAGAGGAGTCTCCCACTCTGTCTCCAAGCTACAGACCTGGCTACCTGTGGTTCTGAGAGCTGACTGAGGAGAAGCTGGGGGTGGGAAAAGCTCCGCATTCAAGAAGCCTAAATTTACCCAACATTCCTGTTTGGGTAAAACGCCCCACCTTCAACTGGGTGCAGGGTCCCTCATCCAGAAACGTTCAGTGTTAGTCTCTCCTGTGACTAGCACTCAAACTTCTGCCTGGGTGGTGGTGGCAGGCACTCAGGGGCATGAGGCGAGGGAGACAGCTGGTCTGTTTCCTAAACAGTTCTCAGCCAATTCTGCTTCTAGCTTTTACTCTCCCTATTCTCACTTCTAGGGTTTATCTGGTACCTGAACCTTTTGAGGATCCCGCTGGGTTAACTGGGTTGAGGCATCAGCAGGAGAGCACGTGGGTGGCCTAAGGGTAATCACACTTTGGGCCTCAATAAGTATATGACATAATGTATACCCTGACTGGTGGGGCCTGTGGCATCGGGGTCACACATGCAAGATGCATGTTCTCAATGTTAAATTATTTTAAAACATGAAGATTTACACCATGGTCTTCAGCCTGGGAGTGGGGACCAGATTATAAGAAGACCCTCCTGGTCACCAGGAAAACCATGGGGATTCTGGTGTCTTTCCCGGCCCTGCCTCTTTCCTGCCCTATCCTGCACCGCGTGGCCCTCCTGGCTCTTCTTGGCACACTTATCCTGCCACTTGAGAACTGGCTTGAGTGAGCCAGCATCGGCGACAGGTGCTCACCCCATCCCTCAGGGCTGGAGTGACAGACAGACTGAGAACCACTGATGGAAACAACTGAACGTTAAGCTCCTGGCAGCAATGCAAAATCCCAAATATTCAAAAAGCTCCAGTGTAGAACTTCAAGTGCACCGGCAGGCCTACGAACAGGCAGGCTGCACCTTCCCAGATGACTTGTGTGTGCCCAACAAGCATCCACTTCCCCGTGAAGAGGGAAATAACTGGGGTCAATGTCTTTGGCTTTTAAAATCTGTCTTTAAGAACAATCGCTGCTGTTTTTATAAAAGAATTGCTGATTATAAAGAACTAAATATTGCAGAAAAGAATACAAGTGAAAGGTTTAAAATTACTCCAAATCCAATTATTCCTAAATTATCATTGCTGACATTAGGTGAAGATATTTTATATGCGTACAGAGAGAGGGAGAGAAATAGGTTTTATGAAAATGGGCTACTTCACGTGGTATTATTTTCAGAAAACACATTCTATTTTAATTTTTTTTTATATACAAAGTTTGCTATAATTCTATTTTAAATGTTTAGAATGTAAAGGGAGAAAAGGAAGCAGAAACTGAAGAAGTATTGAGCTTCAAAGTAAATCTTTCTTTACCACAAGAGTAAAGAAACCTTCTTCAAGTTAAGACAAAGTTTATGGAAACATTAAGAGGTTTTACTCATTCTTTTAAAAACATACAACATGGTTCCATTTTAACAATATTTCTCGACTCTGCATTTTAAAAGTACAAAATCTTCTAATTCTTCACATCATTCCTCCTCCCAGCTCCTGATTTTTGTTAATTATTTCACTTTTACATTGCCCAGGTTTATAATGTTCACGGTCTATCCTGCAGCCACAATTTATAGTTAATTAGTATTAGTTTTATAGTTAAGTATTAGCTCTATACTTAAGTATATTTAGCTATTACTTCTATATTCGTTATATTTAGCTATTAGTTCTATCTTTAAGTATATTTTGGTATTTTGTACTTAAGCATATTTTAGTATTAGTTGTATATTTAAGTATTAGCTTTGTATTTAAGTGAATAGTTCAATGCTCACTACAGTCTTTACTTCCTGAGGTCTTTCTTGTGATTCATTCTCTTACTGGCTGGATTTTACTGTCAAGCAGTATTTTCTTTAAGAAGGGTTTCAAAGTGCCACACTTCACATGTTTTCTTCATGAGAGTGCTACTAGCTATGCTTTACTTAAATGACAATGTGGCTAGATAAAGGCTGTTGGGTCATTCTTCTCTTCAAAACTGTGCAGACCTTGATGCATTCATTTCCGGGACTAAAACCTACTGGAGATGGTCTGATTTTTCCAACTGAATGACCAGAGACTTGGCTCCAAGTTTAATAGTCTAAAAGGGCCAGGCTCTGGGGCCATCCTTTCTGTAACAAAGTTTCCTGAAATACAGTGTACTCTGAGGTTTTTTTCCTCCTTTTCGGGAAATAATCTCATGACACATCATATCTTGATTCTGCAGGCACCAATTATTCTGGTATTGGGATTGTCTTCTGTTCTCTG